AGTATTTTCTCTCGCCTCAAAAATCCACCTCTGCACTTTAATTACTTACCAAGTAACTTGTGACCAAGGTGGAAGTATTGGAATTTGGAGAAAACGTCAAGACAGAAGATCACCACCCGTCTGGAGATAACCAGAATGAGCCTTTAGCCCTGGAGAGGGAGCAGGGGAACGGAGCTGGATGTGCAGGTCGGTGCATGGGCCTTTTGGAAGGCAACAGAGCAGTAAGGCTTTAAAGCTACCCAAACGGAAAGATGCCCATATCCGTTAGTCTAGTAATTCTTCTCCTTAGGATTTATACTACAAAAATAGAAGCAGAAATACGCTAAGGTATTGGTTAGAAAAATCTCATTGTATCATTGTTTTTAATAACAAAAAAAGAAAAGAAAAAAAGAAAAAGCAAGAAGAAAATTGGAAACAACCCAAAGGTACATTGGAAATTAGTTACATCAATTATGAGACACACATTCAATGAAATGCTATGATACCGTTAACAAGAAGATAAACTGCAGATTAGAAAACGCAGTGTGATCCAGTGTTATCGTTACCTATCTGAAGCCAAGTCCAAAGCTCTTTGCCTACATTATTTTCATGAAAAGATTTCACATGCACAGAAAGAATTTTGGCATATATTATACCAATTACTAATGGTGTTAATCTCAGAGGAATAGAATTAAAAGAGATTCTTTTTCTGCTTTGTACTCTAGTGTATTTTATAATAAGGAAAATGCTGAGTCTCACAACAGACTAAAATAACAAAAACTCATGACTGGGGCTGTTTGAGTGGAGGATTGTCTACAGGGTTCCTAAGAACTATTGGAAAAAATAAAAGTGCTTTAAAAATAAAATTGTATATTTAAAATTGCACATAGACTTGGGGGTGGTGATGTGATAAAGCAAAAAGAAGAAAATCCTGAGTGAGCTCTGCTGCAGGAGAGCCTGCTGGGTCTGGACGAGGACGAGGCCAGGTTCTAGGCCTGCAGTTCTGTTCTCCCCCAGGGGCGGCCCTGACTCCCCAGGCCCAGGAGGTGGCCTGGTGTGAACAGATCCTTCCTCCCGCATCACTGCAGGGCTCTCTTCCTGGGGGTCCTGCTGCAGGGCTCTCTTCCTGGGGGTCCCTTCCTGCCCACTTCCTCCCAGCATCACACTTCAGGCACTCTGCCAAGATAATTTTGACTTTCCTGCAGAATCAAAGCCTCTCTAGCCCAGGCTGTCTTCACACCAAGACGAGAATTTGCACCCAAACTCACCAAAGGTAAACAAACACAGGCGTCCCCGCAGCTCCCAGCCCCGGGGAACAGGGCGGAGCAGTGTGGCTCTGCTGGAGGGCAAGGCCTTATCACAAAAGGCAGAGCCAGTGTGCGGTCCTCTGCAGTTGCTCCTGTGTCAGCATTTCAGCCACAGGCACTTCAGAGGACAGCACTGTCACCGGGCCTTGCGTCCCTGGTGCCAGATGTACTGCTGAGTCCTGCTGCCAGCCGCTGTGCCGTGGCTTCGGCTTCAGCTCAGCAAGGCTGACATTCTGTGCTGTGCCTCCTCAGGGCTGAGGCCAGCCGTGAGGGCAAAAGCCACTTTCAGATTGGGACAGAGTTTAAAAATAGTTCTGCACAAATAAAACCTTCCGTGCAAGGCAGCATGTCTGTCCCTGAAACAATTTCTTACCCAGGACTGCAAAGTTTAAGCCTCTTCAAATTTTCTGACCTGCATCCTAGTAAATACAAGAAATGGCGCTCTCACGTGCAACGGCAAGGGTTCAAACTCAGTATTTTTTCAGGAAACGATCTTTCCTGAGTTGCTTTCCCACTCCTGGGCCCAAGTTTCTTAACTAAGCTTCTGCTAGAAGAACAAAATTAAACATTCACTCCGGCGATTTTCCAGACCCTGTGGATTGCAGGGCTTGTTAGTGCCATTTGCAATCCTTGCTAAAATCCCAACAAAAGCGAAGAGCGGCAAACAGTTCCCAAGGCTTCTCTGGCACTACAAGAAGCTACAAAATTAATGGCAATTTCTCAAGGGAGCTGCAGAGATTCCTTTCAAGTTTCTTAGTTGCTTGGCATTCACACATGCTAAGTAGGGCTCAGCCCCAGCCCTTTGAAGTTTCCTCTCCCACAGGTCGGAAAGGCAGTGTGATTTAGGACGGTCAGCAGGGGGGACAGTCCAAAGCAGGACCTCCCCACCAAACAAGTAAACAAAGCCAGCTAGGGTCACGTGGAGCAGCCTGGTGTCCAGGGGGTAGAAATGCAGAGCCAGCAGGAAGAGCAAGTCAATTCTTTGCAAACCGATTGAAGTGTCATTTCTGTTTAAGCCACTCTGAAGGAATGGAGGGATTTTGGGGGTTCTGGGAAAAGGTGAGTAAGAAGCCATTTGCATGTTAATATCTAGTTATTTCCACGGGCATCCTGGCACAAGGACAGGCCACCATCCTTAATCAAAAATTCTGTGACCTGCCTCCAGCTCTTCTCCCCACAGAGCAGACTGGTGCTTTGGAGGGGGGAGAGTCGGGAGTGGCCAAGCCCCTTTGGAGTAACAGCACACCCCTCCAAGCTACAGATCTCCATGAAACCGCCACAGGGCATTTCTGCACCTGGAGTCTTGCCTGGGTTTCAGGTGTGCAAATGCATCAGGTGAGGTCAACCGCCACCAGAGAGGCTGGCCTGTGGCTCCAGGGGGATGAGCCACTTTAGTGACCCAGGTGAGTCCCTGGGGTAGTGCTTCCTGAGGGGTGTTTAGGAGGTGCCACACATGCCCAGGCAGGGACCATGTCCCCACACAGACACCCACATGCAGACCCACACACACGTGCAGAGACACCCGTGCACACCCCATGTGCACACAGACACGCGCACACGCACACACTCCCAGACCACCCATTCCCCCACAAGGTGCCGTTGCAGAGGGGAGCCTGGAAAACCCCCAGTTGCTGTGAATTTGTCTTTGTGATTGACAGTGTCAGTTGAAGGTGGAGAAGTCCTGCCAGGAGACACCTGTGGGCTTGCTCACTGGATGTGGCCCCAGGGCGAAGGGCTGCACCATCCGGAGCCACCAACTTCTGTGGGTTTGGGGGAAGACCCTAAGAGCTTGTAGTTGACCGGTGACGAGTCCTTGCTTCCCCAAGGTTGAAGAATAACACCAGAGAAGCACGCCAAGGCTAGGTCAGAGTGGAAATTAGAAGTTTATTAAAGGACAGCAGAAAAGACTTCTCCCGGAGGAAGAAGGGGACCCAAGAGGTGGGATCCGTGGAAGTGCGGTTGTCTCCCCTTTTTATAGTTCTTTCAGTGACGGAATGTAGGTGGGAAGGGCTGAGGGGTGGGACACAGGTGGACCAAAGAAGTAATCTGGGCAGGAAGGACTTCTGAGTCAGCACCTTCAAGTTTGCTGGGGGCTGTTCATTAACACTGCTTTGGGATGGGCTCTGGCCTAGGGCTTTTCCCAGGACTTCACTAACATTCCAAGAGTTGTTCAACTTTTCCCGGAATTCATTCCCAGCATGGCCTCCATTTTAGATCTCACTTGATATTAGACCCGATTACCTAACTACACTGACTGCCTAACTTTAAATCTGGCTTCGGGAGCTCATACAGTGAAGCAGGACCTCCCTCCCCGCTCCCAGACCCTTCTTCAGTTTCAGGGTTAGGAGCGCTACAGGGCCCTGTGCTCCCCGCCAGGGTGTTGAGACCAAGCCCCCAGGAGCCTGGCCTGCCTCGGGGCCGCCCTCCCCCAGGTTCCCTGGACGCGGCCTCCATCCTAACACCACCCAGTGTGTAGGGGCAGCTCCTCTCTGTTCTACAGGAGGGATCCCAAAACTTGGATAGGAAGAACCAACGCGGCTCAGAGTGGGGTCACCCTCTTCCTCAGGTAAAATGCCCCCACTGGGCTCTGCTCCCCCAGGGGCAAACGGTGAGAAATGCTTGGCCCAGTGGCTGATGCCTGAGGATCCTCCCACGTGGCCAGAAGGGGAGCCTGGGGCTGCTGGCCCGAGGTGGCGTCAGAAGGAAGTCCTCCGTGTGCTGAATCCTGTTCGCTGCGCCACCTCCAGGGGGCTGGAGGCAGGGCTCCATGTCCAGCAGCAGGCCGGGGCACTTGGACTTGGGAGCAAGGGTTATTGTGGAGTCCCTTTGAAGTGAGAAGAAAAAATCAACATCGGGGACTTAGGTGCAAAAAGGCAAATTGCCAGCCTCCGCGGGCTGCAGCCACTGTTCACTTGGGGGCAAAGACACCCGGTTATCAGTTACCGGTCCCCTCCCCCATGTTGAAGTCCTGCTCCCCCATGTTGAAGTCTGGACCTTAGAGAAGCACTCAGAGGTAAAAGCAGGGTTTATTTTAAAAGGGTGACATAGACTTCTCCCAGGAGGGAGGAGGGGCCACAGCTGGTGTCCTGGTGTCCCCAGAATCGAGGTGTTGTGCCCTTTTTGCCTGTCCTGGGCTTCCTTTGTTCTCCTGCCCCCTTCCCCTTACCTTTCTCCTTCCTGCGTAGGTGACTAGGCCCAGGAACTGCTGGTGGGATGGCAAAGGTGGGATGCAGGTGGGCTGACGGAGGAAGGGCGGGATGGGGCGGCCCAGGACACCTTGGTTACAACCTCTGGCTCCCTGTAGGGAGGGGCAGTTCCTGGGACGGTCACCTTGGCAACAGGTTCTTGGTCAGGGAGGAGGAAGGGCTCTGAAGGAACTCACATTTCAGTCCCACAGGGGACAGTCTCCAACTTCCCAGACTCCCTCAAAACTGGCCTCCTTGATCCACCTGACTGGATCTACCCACCTGTACTGACTGCCTGTCTGATTCTGGCTTCAGCAGGAAGGACACTGTGGCCGGCAGCCCTTCCAGAGTCCAGAAAATACAGCCTCATTCAGCCCTGGGCACAGAGTCCTGGACCTCAGCTGGTAGCCAGCAGCTCAGCTGTGGCTCTGCTGCTGTCCATGAGGAAGGACTAGCTGGGCAGCCAGGTGCGCAAGAGGACGTGCAGGGTTGAGGGAATGGAAACCACACTTCAACAGGCCTGGCTTTTATTTCCCCCACTAAGAAGCTAATAAATCTGTGACTTTAAAGTACTGTGAGCCTCAGCCTTCTCCACTACAGAATGAGGATCCTCCTACGCTCATATCTCCTCTGGACTTTTTTTCCTGGTCAGTGTAAGGATTAAGTAGGTTAACTCATGTCAACTGCTTTGCACAGTGCCTGGCACATAATAGGTGCTTAATAAAGATCAACTACTGTAGGCATTACACACTTATACTATATACAGCATATAGTAGGTGCTCAACAAATACTTATTGCTTCTATGTGTTTATAAGTAAATTAACACATTCAGAAAGATAAACAAAAACCCTCAATAAGCTTACTCATAAAGGAGTCCTGCTCATGGGTTTTCCTGAAGACATTTTTGCATTTATAAACTAATGATGTGATTCTTGCTGCATTTCCTCTTAGGAGGCTGGAATCCAGGCTGATGCATGTTTTGACTCTGGTCTTGATCCTGCCTTGTGACTGAATGGCAGCCTGGTGGTGCAGGTGGTGCAGGGCAGACTCCGGGAGGCAGGACGGCATCTCTGCTTGGCGGACCTTTCCCCAGGCAGGAGAGCAGCCTGGCGCTCTGCTCTGAGGCTGTGTTGGGGGCTGGGGTCAGGAGGAGCCAGGGCGGCTGTAAGGAATGGGGCCGGAGAGGAGGGCGGTCCCCTCTGTTGTCTTTATTGTCAGCAGCATCCAGAGGTCCTTTCAAGTTTCTTTGTTTTACTGGTTCCCAGTGCTTCAAAGCAGAGGGAGGAGGTGACCAGTGTCCTGCCCAGGGGCAGAGAGAAGGGGTTAGTGAGTCATAGCTGTGGACACTCAATGGAAGAGGGACCAAGGGAGGAAGGAAAAGGAGTAAGAGAGGATCTAGGGCCGACACCGAGTCTGGAGTCTCAGACTGGGGCACCCATAATCTCACACCAAAAAGGCCGATTCCCAGGATCCGCCCAGCACCCACTTGAGCCGCTCCGGCAGAAGGTGGGGGTGGTCTGCACGGACCCCAGCACACTGGGAAGCTGGTGGCAAGGCCCTCGATCGGCTTCCTTGATACACCTGGAAAAATTCAGGGTCCCTGGCCACCAGCCCAGGAAAACGTTCTCTGGGGCCATTCCTTTGCTCTGGACCCCCATCCTGTGGCTTTTGGGGAAATTCGTGACCTGGTGGAAATGTGATGCGACAGAAGAGGACGAAAGGGAAGGCGAACCATTCATCTTCCTCAGAAAAACATCTCCAGCACCTCTGCTGCTCAGCGGACTCAGTGCCGGGCTGAGAAGGGACAAGGCAAAGGGCCCACACTGGTAAATGACAGTGGCCGCAGAAGCACTGGCCTCAGGCTGTGCCCAGGACACGTGTCTAGGAGCAGCAGGGGGCAGACTCAAGAAGGACAGGTGGCTAATGACAACACGCAGAGACTGGCTGACCTCACACCAGGAAAAGAGACACACTCACGTGGGAAACCAGAGAATGCAGCTGACCGTCAGGATCCTAAATAACCTCAGTGGTCAGCACGAAGCTTTGATGGGACTTCCAGTTCACGTACTAGGGAGCAGCCAGGCTCTCCCATGAGCTGTAGGGGAGGGGACACGTTTCCCAGGGTTTCGCAGACCTAATGTCATCGTGAAGCCATTAGAGGGCTTATGTGCTAAGAAGTGTGGAGAAGCCCGGGTTAAACTACATGAAGAGTATTTCTCTATTGTAGGACTTCTCTTTGTTCATTGCAAATCTGTGATTGGACAATCAGACTCCTCTGTCCAGGGCCATCTCCACAAGTTAGTGACCACTGGTCAGATCGTGAGCAGTGCTGGGCCACAAGGCTCGGGGGAGTCCTCTAGGTCTCATGGCCGGCAGCCTCCTGTGGGTTAAAATGCACAGAGACCAGAGTTTGTGCAGCAGATTGATAGACGGCTGTCCCAAACCCTGCCAGCAGCTACTGCACATAATAAAACACTAAAGTCACAAAAACTCCATGCATGCCACTCACAAAACAACCGACACACGATGGAGGGGGAAGCCACCTGTTACGGTAGGTCCCCAGGGATCAAAATGAACACCAACCTGACTTGAGTGCGGACCCTTCACATTACAAAGAGAACCGGTACCACCACAGGGGAAAGGCTCCTTCCCAACCAATAGCAAATCTCCTTGAGAAAGAGAATAAAGTCCATGACCCTCTGGGACCTCCACACTCTAACGTCCAGAACTTCCAGAACTGAGCCTGGCTCCCTAGAGCAGGGCAGAGCCTCTGCACCCCAAGGGCAGGCGCCTGGCACTCCCAGGGGGCCTGGAAGGAGCTGAGGCCCTCCAAGGGGAGCGTTCCTCCCCATTTTCTTTTCCACTTTGCCCATTTTATAGGCAATGATTGGGAAACTGAAGAGCCTTGAACAATGAATATTGTGGTTTGAAAACAACGTTATTTTCTGAATCAAGTTCATAACCTTAAATTCCTTGATTGTTACCTAAAAAAAAATTAAGGACACTGCATGCAGAAAAGGATCTAAGAGACCAATTCCAGAAAACAAGTATAGAAGTGGGTAGAAAGAAAACAATGAGGGTGCAGGCCAATGCTACATTTTGGAAAACATTCAACAAGTAAATTTGTCTTTGAGGAAGAATCAGCAAAACAACACCCCAAACTCCATCTGACCATGACAGTAGGAATCGCCTGGCCTCACCCGTGTGTCTGCAGGACCTAAAACGTCCAGATTTAGTAGGTCATCCGTAAACACTTTTTGAGAGAATGAAAATAGATAAACAATGCAAAAATATAATGAAAAGATGAAAGAAAACATATGTAGTTTAGAAGAAAAATATGGAAAAAAAAAAAACATGTCCAGGAGGCTAAAAATTAGAATAGTTCCTCAAATTTAAAAACCTTTGTGAAATGGGAAATTACTTTCATCAAAATGAAGTTAACAACAGCAGAAAAAAGACATAAGCTAATAGTCACAGGAAACAAATCACCCCCACACCAGAGCCTGAGGCCAGGCCGTGCCCCCCTCCCCCTGCCCCCCGCCTCACAATCTGGTATTGTAACACTTGAAAAGCCTGCAGCTCCCCTGCAGTAGCCACAGTGCTGGGACACTGTGAGAAGGTGTGTGTGTGTGGGGGGGGAGGGACGGACATTCACACTGTAAATGAGATAAAGAATGCATTTACCCTGGTATCAATATAAACTGTCTCATCTCCCAAGCCTAAAGTGTCTTGGCTAATATAAAATCAAAAGGCTGATGAGTGAAGTCCATCGGGAGGACATTGGCCCTACAGCAGAAAATGAGATACAAGAAGCAGGAGCTGTGGCAGCAGCCAGCGTTGCTGGAGGGCTTCGCAGTCCACCCTCTCCAGAGGGCTGTCTTATCATGGAGCATGCTGCAACCTTTGGAAGGTGCAAGGCCTTATGGACACAGGTTCTTTTCCATGGTCAACATCACTGGCGAGGGAAGAACTGTGGACTAAATTTGCAAACAATCAAGGTAATACTCAATGTCGGCCAGCGTGATGGGAAAGAGTGTTCACAAGCAGAGCTAGTTGGAGTTAAATTAGACAATATACATCATGGGACTTCAAAATGTTTGTAACAATTGACCCCCAGTTGGGAGCCTTCCCAGTCTAAAAATCTAAAACCCAAAACGCTTCAAAATCCAAAACTTTTTGAGCAGTCTTATGATACCACTTTTTGAGCCGTCATATGATACCACAAGTGGAAATTTCCAAACCATGAAACTTTGTATCACGCATGAAATTATTTAAAACATTATATGAAATCAACTTCAGCCTCTGTGTATAAGGTGTATATGAAACATGAATGTCCCCAGACTTGGGTCCCATGCCCAAGTATCTCATTAAGCATATGTACCTATTCCCAAATCGGAAATTCAAGATTTGGGGGCCCAGCCATTTGGATAAGGGTGCTCCACCTACAGTGCCTTCCATTGAGTAATATGGTCCTGGAGCCAGAGATGCACCCAAAGACGCAGCCAGAGAAACTCATCACGGCCTTGGCTCATCCTCACAGTCGTGAGACCAGGCCTGATACTTGTTGGGAGAAATGCTTTCAAGTATTTTTCACTCAAAATTTCTTGGGTAATTCTCATCAAGTCTCTTGGTGATAAGTTTATTTAAACCCATTTTGAAGTTTCAAAATAACCAATAAGGAGCTTATGGACGTGAAGGAAGCTCCTCAGAACCTAAAAGCCACCTGGAGCTGAAGCTGGTCTAAGCCCAGGTCTTCTGGGTCCTTCACCCCTGACGGCATGGCGGCACGTGCCCAGGTGTTACAGGGGAGCTGTCCTGTCCACACAGGCTGAGGAGAAGCAGAACAGCCCGGTCAGCAATGACTGCAGGTGATATTCTCAGGAGCAGGTCAAGGGTTTTCTAATTCCCAGAGCAGAGCAGAAAATGAGGGCGAGCTGAGCCTGGGCCTCCAGGAGAAGGCTCTGGGAGGGCAGGAGGCCGCCGATGGGCTCCAGAGAGGTCGCCCCACCCCACTCCCCAGGCCCCTGTCTCAGGGTCACGCTTCCTTCTCTTCCAGCAGGTGTGCCTCCCCGTGCACTTGTGGCGGATCTTTTGTACAGACTGGGGAGAATGCACTTCAGGAAAGCTGAGCTCAGGGACTGCACGGCCCCTACACCAGGGGTCTTAGACTGTACGGGTGTGAGAATCACCCAGAAGCCTTGCTAAAAATGCAGATTCAGGGGTTCTGTCCTGACCCATTGGCTTCGGAGTGAGCCCAGAGATGGTTTAAACAGACCAACAGTCCAACAGTTGGACCTCTTCCTGGATCTTGGGTGACTTCTGAACACCACTCTTGCTTGCTGTTTTCCAAAACCAGACCCAGACCCGGCCCATTTATCCATCTGCCTGGCGTCTCCGAGATCACCCCTCCTTCCTTCACAGGCCTTCCAGCCCCCTCAGCCCCTGGCCTGTGCTCCGGGTCAGTCACTCCACACACTGATCGGCCACTCCCAGGAGGAGCTGAGACTTTGTTGCCGGGTGGAGAGAGACTTCCTTGTGGGCTTGCAGAGCACTGCGTCCCTCCCCGGGTGCATGGACGGCTTCAGGGACCAGGGTGGTCAGACTTCCCTGTGTGCAGAGGGGTCTGTGTTTGGTTGAATTTCTCCATATTTAGAACAAGGGGCCCTGGAGTCTCCCTTTCCCCTGGAAGCTGACGATCTCTTAGCCAGACTTGCAGGCTGTAATCAGAAGGTCACGCGTCAGGCTCCCGGGCCTCCCGTGGTGGGTGGTGGCCCCAGCTGCTCAACCAGGGGTTGATGGGGTCTTGCCTTTGTCACTCAGCCCCACTAGGGTTAGACTAGCCCTCGAAATTCATGGTGGGATCTAAGTGCCATTGTCACCATGTAAAGAAGCAGGGCCAAGAGGTGACTGGGTCACAGGGGCAGCATGCTCCCAAGTGAGTTCGTGTTGTGGTCACTGAGAACGGGTCATTATGGAGCGAGCCCAGCCTGCGCTTCTCTCCTGCACACACGAGCACGTCCTTCTCGTGCCAAGGGTGATGCAGCCCGCAGGCTCTCACCAGACGCTCTTGACTGCTCAGCCTCGAGAACTATAAGAAATAAGGGTTTTTCTTTACAAAGTTCCTAGTCTCTGGTATTCTGTTATAGCAACACAAAACAGATTGTGATATCATGAGACATCTGTTTGTTCTTCATCCCCATTTCATGGCTCAAAACTCCCTCCCCAAGACAGGGATTTCTCCCCAAGCAAGAATTTTTCAGGCAGCCTGGTGGTGCACACCTGTAATCCCAGCTACTAGGGAGGCTGAGGCAGGAGGATGGCAAGCTTGAGGCCAGCCTCAGCAACTTAGCAAGACGCGGTTTCAAAATAAAATTCGTAAAGGGCCAGTGGTGTAGCTCAGTAGTAGAACACTCGCCTAGCAAGCACGAGGCCTGGGTTTAATCCTAAATACCACGAGACAGAACAAAACAAAAAACCCTAAAATCTCCCTTCCCCAAGGCAGCTCATAGAATCTCTAATCTGCCCCTGTCTCTGTCTTGGGGTTGCCATAAACAAATAGGCCATAGGAGCATCCTCATTCCAGAGGGCAGGGTGAGGAATGCTGCGGAGGGAGGCCCAGAGGAATCTGAGCAGACAGGCCTTGCGGTCTCCCCACCCAGCCCATCAGCAGCGTGCCGTGCCGTGCAGGGGGGCTCCGTGAACCCCAAAGGACAGGGCCCTGAGAGCTCCTGGAGCCCACGTGGCCCAGGCCTGGACGCCCACACCTTCCCCCCCTCACCTCTGCCTTCTCCTGGAACACCGTGTGGATGTACCGCAGTGTTTCCATAGTTCTGAGCCTCTCAGGAAAGTGCACCCAACTCGGGAGGAGGGTTGCGGAACGCGAGGTGGAGAAGACAGGAAGACCACCTGGGCTGAGGGCTGGCTGCCAAGTGAGGGGCCGTCTTAGGGACGGAGCCCCAGCTGGGGGACCCACGGTGGTCTCCAGGCAGATGGATGGCCTCCTTGCTGGTGGGGAGAAATCCCTACTCATCTGGTGTCCCCAGATTGTGGCGTGAAAGTCGAGGAGAAGGAGACTGTGTGAGCTGCGTCCCTAACAGGAACCAAACACGTTGTGTCTTTACACCGCGTCAGAATTTATTGAACAACAGTGAGCTCACAGCCACACCACTGTACCCGGCAGCAGTTCTCTGAATACTTGGGGGTCACCCCCCATCACAAGGTGGGCA